GTGTGTCCAGCTGCCTGTCTTTGGCTACGCCTGGCAGGCATTATCCGCATGTTCTCTGCCATCCTGCACCTTTGAAGTAAAAAGTCCGCGGGCGTAAACTCCTAGTCATTTCACCTATATAGGGCGGCTGTATAGGCGCTGTTTTAGAGCGAGACACTCGTACAATTTAGCGTGAATTACGCGATTGTTCTACCCTTCGTGATTCTTGGCACAACTCTAACGGATTCCCCGGGTATCCGTCTAGAACAGTCTTTCTATCACTGACCTTGACTTTTACGGAGACTGTCCTGTTTGATAACTCCTTCAAGGAAGCGCAACACGGCCCTGAGCCATGACCTTACTCCATAACGAGCTTTCTCCCCAAGAGCTAGCCAGATGGTCGAGATAATCTACTGGATTGTAGACCTAGACCCTTCCGTTGCTAATAGTCGGAGTCAGAGGAAGTAAAGCGCCACGGACAACTTGCAAGCTCCAGATTCCACAGCCTGAAGAAACGTCCATTGTAACACAAAACGAGTAATCAGCAGTAATCCGATGGGTCCAAGTGCTCCTATTCCAAAATTACGAATGATCATCGCTGTGTACACGGAAGGCCGGTGGAGTCTTGGTTTTTCTTCGCCATTGGGGCTCAACATGCGGCATTGACCGATGGGGTCGTTTCTTGAACACGGAACTTCATTGCTGATTTGGACATTTGACGGTCATCTCGTAAAAAGTCACAGAGCCAGATAATTGTGCTTCATATTCGGTCAGAAGGGGTATTTTTCAACCCTTTTCGAGGTTGAAGCCCAAGTCATGAGATGACAAAGTGCTACCTGAAAATGGTATGCATGATTCAGCCCACCCTTTATGGGCTAAGCACGTGCAACTGACGTGGATGATTCATCCAGACGCAGTGGTCCTGTGCGCGTGTAGTACTGACGTTTACCGAGGTGGGATTTTGTTCATTTGTATGGCGTTTTTTCCCCAAAGGAGACTTGGAGCCGAGCGACTCTAAAACAAATCAGCTTGCGGGCTCGTTTCTGACACACCTTACTACCTGTTTGTACGTGTTTTTGTGTTTGCACGTTCACTCGTGGACCACGAGCCTAGAGAGTTCGAGTTCGGGTCCTGTAGTCTGTGGCGTACTGAAGTTAACTTCACTGACATCTGATAAGAAAGGTTTTACGTCCAGCTCTTTGTTACTCTTTGATGAACGTTCACCGATCACTAGAGGAACTCATTTGTCCCGCTCTGCCTTGGGCCTCATATCTCGGGCTCTGACAACAGCTGTAGCAGCTGGTAGTACAGGTAGACAGTATTGCCGGCAAAGACGAAGGAAAATGGAATGGCCATCATCCGTGTTTTTTATTTACATTTGTTGTGAGGACGATACCCCATACCACTCGCTATTTGCCTGTAAGGTAAACCTTTGTTTGGCGAATACTTTCCCCGCTTAACATTCTCCGTCAGCTCCATGTTTTTGACGGTTCCAAATTTAGACGTCACTTTACAACCAAAATCCACTTTGCTGGATTTATCATTTACTTCTAGATCGGAATTTATTTTGTGGCGTTAGCTAACACTGGCTTTCGTGGAACCAAGTTTCGGAAGTGTTGACCATCTAAAGTCTCGGATCATACAGACAATAACGTGCACAAGGGTACACTATATTTGGGAATGTTCCTTACTGGGGAGTATTTATCTATCTAAAACTCGAACACGTCCATGTCCTTTTATGCACGTTTTGTCTATAATTAAAGAGCTGTCCTTGTAGTGGAATTTTCCTGAAGACAGTTTGCCAAGGATAATACATTTTTTGCGTTTATCCGTGGCAAACAAGTGAATCATCTTGAATAGCTTCGGTATGGTGCTTTCTTTGTGGTGTTGGTCCTTATCGCGCCGCTGTCACCATCCATCCGAACACTTTTACAAATTTGCATTAACCTAATATTTAGGCTGTTTTAATTAAAACTTGATAATTAATTCCTTTTTAGGAAATTCCACACAAGAAACGACGGACTGACGGTAGTTGGACCGGTCCGAACTGCGACGATGGGGTACGAATACGCTTTTATTTGTTCCATGCGAGAAAAGTTTTATATCCCATTTCACTGTCTATGGTAGATTAAATTGTATGGCACCCTTCATGCTCCACTGCGTATGCATCGAAAGAAGAAGCTGGGTCTCTTTATAAAAAAAACCTTGTTTCATCCACCTCATCTGCCGTTGTCTATCGACAGGGTCTCAGTGGAGTCTTTTTATAATTATGCACTTCTAATTTAATCCGAAATCAGTAGCCTTTAAAGAGATGCATCCTTGAAACAGA